TGGGAATTTTTTCTTAGGAAATTCATTGATGACTTGTTCAATTTCTTTTTCTAAGATGGGGTAATTTAATATTTTAATTCTTCTGTTAATCTGAGTAATTTTTATTTTTGTAGCTATTCATCCATTTCACTTAGATTGTCAAATTTATTGGCATATAATTGAGCAAAATAGCTCCTAACAATTGTCTTAATCTCTTCTTCATTGGTGGAGAATTCACCCCTTTCATTTTTGATACTGGTAATTTAGTTTTCTTCTTTCTCTTTTTTAATCAAATCAACCAATGATTTATCTATTTTATTGTTTTTTTTTCATAAAACCAACTTCTAGTTTTATTTATTAGTTCAATGGTTTTCTTACTTTCAATTTTATTAGTCTCTCCTTTGATTTTCAGGATTTCCAATTTGGTGTTTAATTGGGGATTTTAAATTTGTTCTTTTTCTAGTTTTGGAGTTTTTTTAGTGGCATGCCCGATTCTCTACTTTATTGATGTAAGCAATTGGAGAAATACATTTTCCTCTAAGTACTGCTTTGGTTGCATCCCATAAATTTTGGTCTGTTGTCTCATTGTTATCATTTTCTTTAATGAAATTATTGATCGTTTCTATGATTTATTCTTTGACACACTTGTTTTTTAGGATTAGATTATTTAATTTCCAATTAATTTTTAATCTTGGACCTCTTTCTCCTCTTACCCTTTCCTGCCAGGTTGGTAAGTTGCTTCCTTACCCCTAGACCAATTCTGAAGCAGTTTTCTATTTGTTTGGAGGGGAATTTAGGAGGGCTTCATATGGTCCCTTCCTCACTCCTCCATCTTGTCACCAGATGTCCCCCACAAAAGGATTGAAATGTTGTTGTAAAGGTGTTAGGAACAAGCCAATTCCTAAAGAAAACACATGAGAAGACACCCCCTTGACCTTGGCAGAGACTTGGCAGACATAGGAGTGCACAGGCCTGAGATTGTTTATAATGTTAGATTTTTTCAAAATGCATTGATCAATTTTCCTGGATTCTTTGTTATAAGGAGTGACTCCAGAGGGAAGTTATAGGGCAAAATCAAGGTGATGTGAAAATAGAAGATATCACGAAATATATTATTATTATTAAAATTATGTCTACCAAAATGTGATTTGGGATATAGGCAACACCTCTATGTTATGGGGCGCAGCAGTCTTAGGATATATGCTGCATGAGTGTTTGAAGGAAAACTCTGGAGATTTCTGTGTGTGGACGTGACTGGACTTACTGTCCCCCATAATGCAAAGGTTTCATAGCAAAGGTCAAAACACGGCCTGAGAAATTCTGAAAGGGCAAGATCATGTCTGGTTTGGGAGCCATCAGGAAAGACTTCGTGGTAGGAAAGATGGCAATGAGGAGCAAGGGAGAAGGAGCATTGGTTTCCAGAGATGGTGGCATGGGCAAAACCAGGGAGGTGGGAAAGAGGGAATGAACATGGTAACAGAATGTAGTTTGGTCCAGTTTGGCTGGCGCTGGAGAGGAACGTAAGCTAAGGCTAGGAAGGTAGATTGTGGAGAGCCTGGAAAGGCAGGCTAAGGCTTGGATCTTTTTTTTTTTTTTTTTTTTTTTTTTGTCCTCCTTTGTCCAGTAGGGAGTTAGTGAAGATTCTTTAGCAGGGAAGGGGAGGTTGGACAGAGCTGTCCCATGAGATTATGTATTTAGGATCGATCAGAGAGGAAATATATTGTAAGCGGGGAGAACATTTCAGAGGCAGGAATGACAGTCTATACAAAAGGGGGAGGTGAGGGAGAAGGACCGGATATAAAAGATAGTAAGGAGGAAGACTGTCCCACAAGCACAGATGAGAAGTGGTTCAGAGGTCATGGAGATGCCTGGGACGGCCCTCCCTGCACCCCACATCCTGCCCACACCAAGCCGTCCTCTACTCAGCTGTCAAATTGATCTTCCTAAAGCACAGGTGACTGTGGCACTCCCCCACTCAGTAAACTCCAGTGCTTCCCTATTTCCTCCAGGATCAAATGTAAAATCCACCATTTGGCTTTCAAAGCCCTTCCTACCTGCCCAGTCTTCTTACACTTTGCTCTCTTCCACACATTCTATGATCCAGTGAAACCCCTTATTGTTTGTCCTGCAAGCCACTCCATCCAGCTAGGTGGAGCAGTGGTAGAGTATTGGCCCTGAAGTCAGGAGGACCTGAGTTCAAATCTGGCCCCAGACATTTAGTAGCTGTGTGACCCTGAGCAAGTCACTTAACCCCAAATTGCCTCAAAAAAAAAAGCACTCCATCTCCTGATTCCCTGCCTATCTCTCATGACTCTACCTGTCTGTCTCCACCTCCTGACTTCTCTGGCTTCCTTCAAATCTCAGCTAATGTCCTAACTTCTGGCAGGAGCTATTCCCAGTCTTCCTTAATCTTGGTGCCTTCTCTCTGAAACTACCTTCAATTTATCCTGTCTGTGTGTGTCCCCTCCATGATCATTTTACACATCTTTCCCATTAGACCATGAGCTCCTCGTTTCTTTTTATCCTTAACCCTTTAGTACAGTGCCTGGCACACAGTAGGTGCTTAATAAATGCTAGTTGACTTGACCAGGCATACGCCTCTACAGTCTCGGGAAAATGCTCTTGGGATGCTAAGTCTGTAGGCACCGTGGCCTTTCCCTAAAAGCTGTATCCCTCCTCTTCTCCCTCACCCTCACGTCAGCTCAGACTCAATTCCCCAGACATTCCATCTTGACATGGCATTCAAGGTCTTCTGTAGTCTAGTACTGTCCCACTTTTTATTCATTCAACAAACATTTGTCAGGAAGACTTGAATGTTAATCAATCAATCAATCAACCAACATTTATTGTCTATTACATGCCTGGAATTTGGTTCTTGCCAGAGACACTTAGAAATCCTATGACCCTGGGCAAGTCACTTAGATCCTTTTATCCTCAGTCTTCTCATCTGCAAAATGAGGGGAATAATAGCACCTACGTAGCTCTCAGGTTGTTATAAGGACCAAATGAGATAATATGTAAAGCTCTATGTAAACTTTAAAGTGCTATACAAATGATTTCTATTGTTATTGTTATTGCTGCTGCGGCTGCGTGAAGACCCAGTGCTAGGTACTGGAGATGTGAAGATATAAATCTTCGCATTCCCTGCTTTCAAGGACCTTACACTCTAGCCAGCGACAGCAGCTTGTACAGGTAACAGACACATTCAGGAGAGGCTGGGGCCCCATCTGACCTCTCCAGCCTTCTACTTTTTCCTCCCCTTCATGTGTTCTATGGTACATTCAGATTGTGACGGTGTTAAATATCAACCAGATGAGCTTATGTTGGCTCCTAGAAGTAAAGTGCTTTGGAGGATCCCTTTGGTAGATGAGTGGAGGATGGATCAAAGAGAGACTTGAAGCAGGGAGACTTCCCCCCCCCCCCACTCAAGGCTATTTCGATAGGCCAAGGTGGAAGGTGATGAGCACCTGTACCAATGGAGTGACTGTGAGAATGCAGAGGATTCGAAAGATGGGAATGACAAGGATTTGACATCTAAATGGGTAAGATGTGGGGTTAATGACATAAAGATATGAGTCTGGGTGTGGAAGGGTGGTAGAACCCTCCACCAACAATAAGCGATTACAGAGAAGGGCAAGGGAGTGACTGAGTTTTGTTTGGGACATGACGAATTTGAGATGCTTCCAGTTGGAGATGTCCATCAGGCAGCTAGTTGTGTGGGCCTGAAGCTCAGGAGAGAGACTGACTGTAAGGACTGGGAATCATCCGCAGAGAGATCATTGAACGTATGAGAGCTGCTGAGGTCACTCAGTGTAGAGATGGAAGAGAAGAGGGACCAGGAGAGGGTCACAGTTAAGGGCTGGGATATGGCCATCGGCAAAGGAAATTATTAAATGCCTAACACACGGCCTCACACATAGTAGGTGGCTAATAACGGCTTGTAGATGGTTTCTCCAGGTACACTGCAACATCCTTGAGGATAGCAATTGTCTCAGTTTTGACTTCCTACCCCCAGTCAGTCAATAAACATTTTTTAAGCACCTACTATGCTCAAGGGATACAAATGAAGGCAAAAGGACGATTCCTACGCTCAGAGGAGCTCACAGTCTAATGGGGAGACACCCCACAAAGAACTCTGCATAACCAAGATAGAAGTAGGATAAATTGGAGCTGAGCAGCGGGGGAAGGCACTAGCATTGGGGGAATTGGGCAAGGCTTCTTGGAGGCGATGGGACTTTAGCTGGGACATGAAGGAAACCAAGAGGCAGAGATGAGGAGGGAGCACATTCTCGGCATGAGGGACAGCCAGAGAGAAAGCTCGGAGTCTGGAGACGGAGGGTCTTCTCGTCAGCAACAGGAAGGAAGTCAGCGTTACTGGTTCCCAGAGTAGCGGAGGGCTCCCTCGCATGGGGTCTCCAGCACCTAGTCCAATGCCTTGAACGTCAAAATAGGTGCTTATACATAAATGTATTTCACCTGCCCCCAGGAGACTCCAAGCCAGGAACTGTGAGAGTACTTAATGAATGCTGGTGAATCTAAATCCAGTGCCTGTTTGCGTGTTCAGACAGGTTCGCGCTCCTGGCCTCCCCTCTGTGGTGTGTGTATATGTGTGAGTGTGTATGTGTATGCGTGCTCGTATATGTATGTTTGTGTATAGGTGTGTGTGTGAGTGCGCACGGGTGTATGTATGTGTATGGGTGTGTGTGCGTATGTATGTGTTTGTGTATGATTGTATGTGTGTTGAAAAGGAGGAGCCCCATCTAGTTCACGTGGAAGAACTAGGCAGTTTACAGGGATTTTTGTTCAGAAAACATGGGCAGAGGGACACTCATTTATTCCAGGATTCTCAGTGTCCTGCTGACCTTGACCCTACGATCCCCGTCCCAGGTCTCCCGCCCCTCCCCCTCTTCCTTCCCCCGCCCCCCGCCGGCTCAGCCCGGACCGGGTTCAGAGGGGGTGGGGCCAGAAGAGGGCGGGACCCTGGCTTCTCAAATACCCCTCCAGTCGGTGGTGCCCCTCGCGCTAGCTGTCAGGCAGGCGTGGATCGCGATGGGAGCTGGAGTCGCTTGGGTTATGGGTGCTTGGTGGGGTGTTTTCCTCCTCTGCCGTCGGGGCCAGGGTGAGGACCAGGTCCCGGGGCTGGATCGCTCAACCTCTGCCCACTGCGGGCCAGGAGAATTCCTGCACCAGGAGGCCAACGTCCTACGCTGCTGTAGCCTGTGCAACTCGAGTAAGAGAGGAAGGTGATGGGTTGAGGGAGGGAAAGAGGAAGAGGAGTCCCTGGGCCAGCGACTCTGAGGCTGACCTGGTGTGCCCCACCCTCGGACCGGGCTAAAGCGGGCCCTGGGGCAGGGACTCTGTTACTTGATAGTGGAAGGTCGGGAGGGAGTCATCTCTCCATTTCAGGCATTCGGAGGAGAGAACGGGTCGAGGCTCTGGGGGTCGGGTGAGGTGGTCTGGGGACAAAGCTGCACTGGACTTCCTATCCCCATTCTCCTCGGCCCATGCCCTCTTACCTTCCCAGGTCCTATCGGCCTTTCTCCTTGGCCACACTCAAGATGTGCCCTGGCGTCCAGTTCTCCTCCACCCACAACCCTAGACCTGGACTTCATTGTTTTGCCCCTTGTATTGGAGTAGGGGCTGGGAGTAGAATGGAACCCTCTGGAAGGCAGGGCCTGTTTCCATTCTTGGCTTCATTTCCCTGACACTCTGTTTGGTGCCTGCCATGTATGTGGTGGGTGCTTAATATATGCTTGTTGAATTGAATTGTCAGGGCAATGCCAGGGAATGCCCCTTCTTACAGGAAGCCTTTCCTGAGTGTCAGAGTCGGGGATGCACTGCCCTTAGTCAGGGCTTGGGCTGGAGGTCCCCTGGACTGCTCACTGGCCCCAGCTGCATTGGATATCAACAGGCTGGGTGTGGCAATGCCCTAAGGGGGGGGCCCCACTCTGACTATGGGAAGGTGGTGGCATTTACCCAGGGTGTGGGTTGTGTGTGGGGGAAGCCATTCCTTTGCTCAGGGGGAAAGATGGCTGGTGGGCGGGTGGGTGGATGGTAAAGTCAGGTTGGGGATGATTTTTATCTTACCACACGAGGAATGTGTGTGTGCTGGCAGAAGGGAGAGATCTAGAAATGGCATTTCATTAGGGTGGGTAAACTCACCGTAGATAGATAGCTCATCTCTAACTTAAGGTTTTAGAGCATTTCATGGGGACACCGAGAGGTGAATGACTTGCCTAGGGTCACACAGGCCAGTTTAAGATGTGTCAGAGACAAGATTGAACCTAGGACCTCCTGACTTCAAGACTCTCCCTCTGTCCACCATTCCAGCTGGCCTACGAGGATCACCTGGACTGGAAATGAGGAAATTGAGCTTGGAGGAGGGGAAATGATAGCTGTGTTCATATATTTGAAAGATCGTCACATTGAGGAGGGGTTAAGCTTATTCAGCATGACCCATGAGATCAGAGCCAGGTGCAATGGGGGAAAGGGAAACAGAGAAGAGAGTTGCACAGGGTTAGACTTAGACCTGATGATGTAGGGAGCTGTCCAGACGGAGAATGGGTTGCCTGGAGAGGTAGTGGATGCTAGAGCCCTCCCCTTGAAGGTTATCTTCTACGTACTCTGAATGTATGTTGGAGGCGCCTTTTTATTTCCTATTTATTTACATGTTCTCTTCCCCCCTTAGAATGTAAGCTTTGTGAGGGCAGGGGCTATCTTTGCCCTTCTCCATAAGTACCAAGGTTAGTACTTTACCTGGCACAAAGCAAATGATTTAATAAATGAGATTGCTATATGTAAAGTACTTAAGGTCCCATATAAAATGCTAGCTATCAATGAATGCTTCTTGATTGATTCATTGATTAGGGGATTCCCTCAGGGAGGCTAAATGACCACTTGGCAGTCACGGGGAGGGGATTGTAGAAGGCATTCCTGGTCAGGTTCAGGTTAGATTGGTTGACCTCTGAGGTCACTCCATGAGAGGCAACATGCTAGAGTGGACAGAGTGTTAGACCTGGAGTCAAGAAAACCTGGGTTCACATCTCACCTCAGATGCCAGCATGTGACTCTAAGCAAGACACTTTCTCCTTCTAAGCCTCAGTTTCCCCATCTGTCAAATGAAGAGGTTGGGCTTCGGAGGTCCCTTCTGCTTCTTAATCTACAACCCCATGACCCAACGACTTACCACTTTGCTGAGTCTCTCTCTGACCTGGATCACAGCTGTCTGCAAGGCTGCTGATCTCCTGGGTCTAAGAAGGTGGCCCTGCCCCTGCTCCTGGAGATGCTCCCTAACACCTCGTACTTTTGTTCCCAGGTAAGGCATGCCCATCTCATCAGCTGAGGGTCTGCACCTGTGCCATACCTGGAGAGTTCTGTGAGGATTCTGAATGTAAAAGCTGCACGAAGCATACGTGCTACCCCGGCCAACAGGTCCTCATCCACGGTGAGCGCCAGAGCATGGCCACGCCCCTCTCAAGGACCCAACTCTGGTCCCATGCAGCTCCATTTCCACTCTGCTCCCATTTTCTGCTTTGTGGCTTGCGAGTGCTGGGCCAGCCGCTTCTGGCCACACCCACGCATGGGAGCTCAGGGGATGCTGGGGCTGGGCAAGAGGTGACGGGCAAAACTTTTGGAAAGAAGCCAGCTAAGAATGGATACCCAAGCCAATTTAACCCAAGTGTTCTGTGAGCATTTAGGAAGCACCTGCTGTATACTAACACTATGCCAAGCACTAGGGACACAAAGACAAAAGTGAAATCCTCAAGGAGTTTATATTTGAGCAATTATTAAGCACCTACTATGGGGAAAGCCTGTCATATAAAGGCCCTTTACAACCTGGCTCCAACCAACCTTTCTAGCTGTGTTTCTTATTATGCTCTGTCCCATTCCCTCCATGCCAGACAAGTTCTCCCATCCCAGAACTCAAAACTCCATTCCCTAGGTCTATGTATCTGCACATGCTATCTTCCATTAAGGAGGCAGTATGGTACGATAGAAAGGGCACTGTCTCTGGATTCACAGGGCCAGGGTTCTAATCCTGCATCTGATGTATTACCTTAGACACACTCCTGTGCCTCAGTTTCCTCCTCTGTAAAATGAGGGGGTTGGGCTAGGTGGTTTCTCAGGTCCCGTCTGGATCTAAGTGTGTGATCCTTGGATTCTGGTCTACACTCTCTCCTCGTCTCTACCTCTCAAGCTCAGCTCAGGTGAAGCCAGTTCTTGGAAGTTTTCCTCGATTCCCCAGCCTCCCCATCGTCACCCTCCTCTTCTTCCTTAGATTACCTTGCCTATACTTAGGAGCATAGATTTAGAGCCTTAGGGTTATAGATTCTTTGATTTAGAGCTGGAAGAGACCTTAGATTCAATTCTACAGACATTTATCAACCTCCTACTACGTGCAAGGCACCATGCAAACAGTGCCTGATGTCAAGGGGCTCACATTCTAGTGGGGGGACATGACTACAATTTGAGGGGCAAGAAGACAGAACAACTTGGGGGCTTGGCTAAGGCTTCCAACAGGAGGGAGACCCTGACGTGAATGAATTTAAGAAGTGGAAGTAAAGGGAGGGAGTGTAATCCAGGCAGGAGGGACAGCTTTTACAAAGGTGCAGTAGCAGGAAATGGAATGCTGAGTTCAGGGAACAGCAAATGGGCCAGTTTATCTGGAATCTAGAGAGTGTGAGGTTTTCTAGTCCTACTCCTTAATTTGACATATGAGGAAAATGAGGCCCAGAGACTTGCCAGGGTCACACAGCCAGTAAGTGGCAAAGCCAAGATTTGAACCCAGGTCCTTTGAAGCGAGTCCCTTGCTCTGGATGCACAACCAATGTTTACCCATAAGCCCTCAGTCTGGGTGGGTTTTCTTTCTCCAGTGGAGGGTAAGTGGAATGAGGGGCAAGGAATAAGTGGCTAGACTCCTGACTCTAAATTCAGTGCTTGCTCTTCCAATATACCACACTATACTATACACGTTTTCTCCCCTAAAGAACAGGGACATCTCACAGCGGGGACTTCACAAATGATTGTTGACTTGGAGGCACTAGGATGGGCCCTGGGGACGCAAAGATAGGAAAACAGCCCAGGTGCTGGCCTCAAGAGGCTGACAATCTAATGGGGGGTGGGGGGTGGGAGGTGGAAGCATAAGGTATGAGCACAGTATTTATGTGTGGGAGGATGAGATAAAGAAGATCCATGCTTTTTTCTGAGGGTGGGGAGAGGGATCTAGGAAGACCTCCTGGAGGAGGTGGCAGCTGAGTTAAGATTTAAAAGAGTGACCATGGGGGTGGGGGGAGAGGGAGAAAGGAGACTGTTTCATCTCAGGAGGATGCTGAGAATAAAATATGGGGATGGGAGAAGGCTGGTGAAGGACAGGGGATGGGAGTGGTCCAGAGGGGCTGGAACTCGGGACTAGTTCAGGGAGAGGAGCATGAGTAGGTTTGACTGTTTGGTTGAAGTCAGGTTGTGGAGGCCTTGAATGCCAAGGTCAGGAAGGTATGCGTTATTTGCAAGGCAATGGGAGCCACTAAAAGACTGTGAGCAGAGCAGACACGTAGTCAGAACTGGGCGTTGAGAGGGTTCTGTGGGTACAGCACAGAGGGCCGGCAGGGCTGGGGCAAGACCAGAGGTAAGAAGACCATCCTGGGGGACCAAGCAGAAGCAGCTGGAGAGGTCAGGGGGAGGTGCTGCCCTGGGGCCATCTCATCAGCTCCGGGGGACTCTGGAACACCTCTATGCAGATGGCTCCCATGTCAACCGATTTAAATGTTCCACGTCACGAACTCTCTACATTCTAATGTTCTCCATCAACCTATTCTCATATTCCTTATAATATATTTTAACACTGAAGATCAATACTTTCTAATATTCTAGAGCACATTCTATATATTATATAGCAATGTATTCTAATATTCCATATCAGTATTTTCTAACATCAATATTTTCTTCTGTAATAGAATATAATAGTCTATTCATCTTTTAAAGTAGTCCATATACTATATTCTATATATGCTAATATCCTATATCAATCTATGCTGATATTCTATATCCTATATATTCTACTCTTATATATGTGCTAATATTTGACATCATATATTCTATTTATTTTAATGTTGTACATAAATCTATCCTAATATTCTATAATACATTCTATATATCCTAATATTGTGTATAATCCATTCAAATAGTCTATATCACATATTCTATGTATTCTAATAATCTATATCAGTCTATTCTAATATCTTATATTCTATTTCAAGCTATTCTAATGGCCTATATCATATAGTCTATATATTCTAATAATCTATATCAACATATTCTAATATCTTATATTCTAATATTCTATATCAAGTTATTCTAATAGTCTATATCATATATTTTAATAATCTGTATCAACCTATGGTAATATCTTATATTCTATATCAAGCTATTCTAATAGCCTGTATCATATGTTCTACATGTTCTAATAAGTTATGTCAACCTATTCTAATCTTGTATTCTATATCAATCTATTCTAATATCTTATATCCTAATATTCTATATCAAGTTATTCTAATAGTCTATACCATATATTTTAATAATCTATATCAACATATTCTAATATCTTATATTCTAAATCAATCTATTTTAATATCTTACATTCTAATATTCTATATCAAGCTATTCTAATGGTCTATATCATATATTCTAATTCTTGATAACAATCTATTCTGATAGTTTGTATATCAAATAGTCTAGTATTTTATATCGATTTATTCTAACATTCTATATCCCATATTCTATACATTCTAATATTCCATGTCAGTCTGATCTGATCTCTCTTCTGTGTCCCCATGGGATTCCTCATCATTAGCCACTTGGGTGTTCCCGAGGCGTATTTCCTTTCTGTCCTTGCATTCCCAGTGCCTGGCACATGACACTTAATGAATGCTTACTGAATTCAGTTATCCAGCTTAATATGTCCAAAGGACCGCTCATTATATTTCGCTCTGGATCCATTCCTCCTCCAGATTCCTTCTTTTGTTGTCTGGCACGTAGTAAGCGCACTTATTAAATGCTCATTGACTGACTGATTGACTGATTGGTGGCCCCACCTCCTTTCAGTCCCTTGCTCTCCCTTGCTCAGCCTCCTGCCAATCAGTTGCCAAATCGGGTTGGTTCTCTTTCCTCAGCACCTTTTGTATCCATCCCCTGCTTTCTGCTCACATGGCCTCTTCCCTAGTTCCTGTCCTCACCCCCTCTCTCCTAGACTATGGAAACACCTTCCAAATCACCTTCTTTGGGTAATTTCTGTCACCAGCCCATCTCCCACGCAGCTGCCAAATGACTATTTCTAAGAAGCAGACGTGACCATGTCACTTCTCTATTCAGAAATCTTCAGTGGAGACTCCTCACTCTGTCATTTTCATCCTTCCACAATTTGGCTTCCTCCTCCTTTCCCAGAATTCTGCATTATTTCCTTTCACATAGTCTTTGTTTCTGCCACAGTAGCTATTCTCACAAATCATTGTGCTGTCTCCCATCTCTGGGCCTTTGCATTAGCTGGGCCCCCTCACCTGAAATGCATTCTTTCCTCCCCTCTATCTCTTAGAATCCCCAGCTTCCATCAAGATCCAATTCAAACACCACCTCCTATGGGGTTCATTCTCAATCCTCTTTCTCTCCTGATAATATTTTTTTAATTAATTTTTTTTGAATTATCAACAATCACTTCCATAAGCTTTTGAGTTTTAAATTTTTCTCCCCCTCCCTCCCTCCCTAAGACGGTGTGCAATCTGATATAGGCTACACATATACATTCCTATTGAACGTATTTTCACATAGTGATGTTGTAAGGAAGAATTAGAACCAATAGCAGGAACCACCAGAAAGAGGAAACAAAACTCAACAGAAGAAAAAAAATAGCAAATAGTATGCTTCGATCTGCATTCAAACTCCATAGTTCTTTCTTTGGATGTGGACAGCATTTTCCATCACGAGACCTTTGGAGATGTCTTAGATCCTTGTATTGCTGGGAAGGGTTAAGTTTATCAATATTAGTCATTGCACAACGTGGCTGTTATTATGTACAATGTTCTCCTGGTTCTGCTCACTTCACTCTGCATCAGATCATACAAGTCTTTCCAGGTTTTTCTGAAGTCCGCCTGTTCATTCTGATAATATTTTTTATTCATTTATCTGTACATAGTGATTCTCCTGAGTACAATGGAAGTTCCTTAAGGGCAGGAGTTGGTTAACTTTGTATCTCTGGCATCCAGCATAGTGCCTGGTATGGAATAATTACTTAGTAAGTGTTTATCAAATTGGATTTTGGGATGTATGGGAAAGAATCATTCAGAGGTAAATAAAAACAATGGTGAATCCTGCAATGGTGAAGGCTTGGATGAAGGTAGACAGCATTAACTTGCAGCTGACCTCGTAGCATTAGGATGTTCTCGAAGGGCCCTTAGGAGTATAAGCCAGGCAGAGACAATCCAGCAATAAGCATTTATTAAGCACCTACTGTATACTAGCACTATGCTAAGGGGCCAAGGATAGATACAAGGGCAAAAACCAAAGCATTTCCAGACATTAAGAAGTTTACATTCCAACTGGAAAGACATAGATGCAAAAGTAGGAAGAAACCCAAAATATATACAAAGCAAATTCAATGTAATGTGGGATTTTGGGGGGGGAGGGCATGTGGAGAAGGGGATGGGATAAGTCACTAGCAGCTAAAGGGATCAGTTGGGTTTCTGGTGGTGTGTGGGCTGAGCTCTGAGGGAGGCTAGATAGTCTAAGAGGCAAAGATGGGAAAGGAATCCACTTTAGGCATGAGGGACAGCTGGTGCAAAGATGGGAGATGAGAAACAGCGAGTAAGCCAGTTTGCTTGGAACGTAGAGTGTGTGAGGAGAAGTCATGGATCACAAGCCTGGAAAACTGGGTGGGAGCCAGAGTGTCGGGGCCTTAAATACCCAACAGAAGTTTTGTGCTTTGTCTTTGAAGTAATGGGGAGTTACTGACATTTTGTGAATAGGAGAATGACTCGGTCAGACCTGCCCTTCGGCAGCTGAATGGAGGCTGGGTTGGAGAGGAGAGAGTTTAGAGGCAGGGAGTACAACAGGCAGCTTGTCCAGTAGTCCAGGCAAGAGGGGGAGGGGCAGGTCAGAGATCACGGACCTGATCTGCTTTGGGTAGTGCCAAGAGCCCGCTAGTGTGAGTAGATGGCAAGGGGGCTGTGGTGGGGGCAGTATAACCAGATGTGTTGGTATATAGGTATAAAAAAAGATAGAGATATTTATGTATACACGTATAATTAAACACACACAAACACACATGCACATATATGTGCCCATATACGTCCACATGTATGTAAACACACATGCAATTCATATAGACCCATATTTACACGCACCTACACACATACATGTACCCTAATATATGTTATATCATGGCTAACTGTGCCCTGCTTTCCCCATGGTGGTCATGGCTATAAAGGCACATCTTCCATTCCTTTGGACAGGCTTGCCTGGACAAAGGGGGATGTGTCCCTCCTCCAGGGTCTCTGACTCCCCCATGTCTCCCTGCTCTGCCGTGCTTCCCACCCATCTATTCCTGGTTCTGTCCCCAGGGAGGTTTGTTTTCGGCTTCACTTGCAAGGACTGTGAAGATGGAACCTACTCGGATGGCATTGATGGCAAATGTCTGCCCTGGACTGAGTAAGTTGGGGGTGCCTCAGGAAGGCACTGTGAGTTGTAATGGCTCAGGGCTGTCCAGAACAAGCCTAGCACACACTCGAGAAAAGCTAAGGGTAGCCGGCTCGATTGAGTACCCCTAAAAGCCCACTGCAAACTCCCTCTGGAAGTCAGCAAGCATTTATTAAGTGCCTACTATGCGCCAGGCACCGTGCTGAGCCCTGAGAAGATCAGAAAGGCAAAAATATGGTCCTTGCCCTCAAGAAGCTCCCAGTCTAATGGGGGAGACAACACTCACCCACTTGACCTGTCTAGCCCAGGGCAGGGGGGCTGGGGCACCAGAGACCTTCTGGCTCTTGCCCCAACCTCTCTTGTACAGACTTCAAAAAAGGGGACTTGGGCTCCAGGCAGTTCCAACTCAGAGCCCAGGTTCTGCTGGCTGAGGCTACTGCCCAACTTGGGGGGCTCAGAGGCTGAGGAAGCTGGAGTCCTAGGGGAGGAGGTGGGGAGTCACCTAGCTAACAGCTCCTGACCCATCAGCAGAACCAGGGTTTCCAGGAGTGGGATGGCTTGGGGTTTAACCCCCCAACATCCGCTCAGTCTCCCCCTCTTGTGATAGGCAGCTTGTTAGGGTGCATGGGGGCTGGGACAGAGGGGGTCCAGCCCAGGGTGGAGGTTGAGGGGTAGCCCTGCAACTTTGTAGAAAACAGTGCTTCCCTCTGGAAATGGGGAACAGAAACCCCCGGCCTGGTCTCACTGAGGCCGTGGTCTAAGCAAACTTGTCTTCTGTCTCTGTGTGTTTGGGTTACCCAGTTGTGCCAGGGAGGGATTTCTCACAGTCCGTCCAGGAAACAGAACCCACAACGTGCTGTGTGGCATGGCTCCGCTTTCAGGAACAGGTATTCTTCTTCTTCCCCTTCCCTGCCCCCACAGCCGTAGGCTCCTCTACCCATGTGCACCTATCAGGACTGCAGCCTCTTTGGTCTTGCCCGTGCTCTGACCTGTGGCCCCCCTGGGTTTGAGCAACTCAATCCAACCAGCAGTTTTTTTTTGTTGTTGTTGTTTTGTTTTTTAGGCAAGTGACTTGCCCAGGGTCACACAGCTAGTAAGTGTCAAGTGTTTGGTCTGAGGTCACGTTTGAACTCAGGTCCTCCTGACTTCAGGGCTGGTGCTCTATCCCCTGTGCCACCTAGCTGCCCCAGCCAGCAGTTTTTAAGCACCTACTATGTGCCAGGAGACTGAGCTGGGCACTAGAGACACAAAGAAAATGAAATGGGCTCTGCCCTCAAGGAGCTTACATTCTCCTGGGGCTGGGGTGTGGGGATGGGGGGGAGATACAGTTGCTTACAGAGAAATAAATACAAAGTATTTATAAAGTCACTTCAGAAGGGTGCTGACTACCTTGGGGAGGTGTGGAGGGCTTTCTGGAGGCCACATCACCTGTGCTGTGCAATGAAGGGAGCTGAGTATTCTATTGAGGGGCAGGGTGAGGAGGTCCAGCATTCTGGGCATGGGGGACCATCAGTGCCAAAAGCACCAAGGCAGAGCCAGCAAGCCAGTTTGATTGGACTAGAGAGAGTGGAGGGGAGTCCAACGAAAGGTAGAAGGGAGCCAGATTGGGGAGGGTTTTCAATGTCAGGCTGAGAGAGGCTGGCTTTTATCCTTAGGCAGTAGAGAGATTTTTTTTTTTCAATAGGAGAATGATACGTTCAGAACTAGCAACATTATTGATGTAATAGATAAAGAGCTAACCAAAGGCCAAGGCAGGGCCAAGAAAGCCTGGGTTCAAGTCCAGCCAATGATATATACTGGCTTTGAGACCCTGGACCAAATGCTTAACCTCTCGGTGACCTAGTCAATTAATTCTCTAAGACCGAACTGCAGAGGTGTTGACCTGCACTGGTAGACAGCATTTCCTCACCTGGGAGTTCCTTAAATCAGTGAAGTTCTTATGCCTAATCTGGGTGCAGGGGAGGGTTGGCGCTCAATCTTGGGTGTCTATCTCTGTTGCACCCCTCCCCCCCCAAACTTAGAGAGTCTCATGATCGCTGTTCCTGCAGGCCTCTCCAATTCCTACAGCATCCCCGTGGCCATCCTGACAGGCTTAGCTACGATTACCTTTGTGCTTGTCATTATCCAGCTGGTCCTCCACATCTTGTGGGTGAGAAAGGAACCCTTCACCAAGGACAGAGGTCAGTTCTACTGGAGATGTGGAGGAGGGTGGTGGCAGTGCCTCAACTGTCCCCCAAGTTTCCAGCGGAGGAATACTGCCTTTCAACCAAGCCCCTTCCCAATTCCCACCTCAATTGTGGGCTGGGCTGTGGGCCTAGGGAGAAGCCCCAAAGGCCAGCGCCTCCCCCTACCCTACCTAGAAACCCCAGAAGCCTGGAATTTGGATAATCCTTCCAGGCCTCTTCCTTCCACTGCAATCCTGGTCTACCTGACCTCCAGGAGGTAAAGTGCCCCACCGCAGTTCATCCCTGGTCAGGGCAAGCCTCACAGCAGCAGTGACCCCAGAGCTCACCTTTCCTTTTTTCTCCAGAGGCCACCTTGCCCCTGGGGCCTGGACCCCCTGATGATATCTGCAACTGCCCTTTCCCAGAGGAGGAGCGGGGGGAGAAGACAGCAGAGGACAAGACCCAGATGGGTCATCTGTGGGCATAAAGGAGTTCGCCTGACTCAAGCCTGCCACAGTCCGGAACTTTAAAGGGGATACCCCAGAGACACAAGGACAGAGGCCAGCTTCCTGTCTCGCGGTGCTGTCTTCTCTCCTACCTGAAGCTGCAGCTTGTTCTGCCTGAGGCCCGGGTCAGCGCACCCCAACTAAGAGCCCTTAGAATGTGAGATGGTTGAAAGGCCAAGTGGAAACTGAGCCATTACTCTGGATCTGGGCCCAAGCCTGGAGCTTCACAAAGGCAGCATCAGAATTGGGGGGATTGGTGTGTCAACACCCCATTCAGACCCCGGCACTCAAGAAGAGGAAAAGAAGGAGGAGAAAGGGGAGAACCAGCCCTCTGGCAACTTAGACTGAATATATCAACTCCCCAGAGGGGACATGGGGCAGGACCCCAGGGGGCTGGACCCCAGACCTGGTATTTCTTCTCCTACCTCTGGACCTTTGCCTAGGCTGTTCTCCTATGCCTGGAACATTCTTCTACCTTTCAGAATCCCTTTTATTATTGTTTTCAATCAATTAGTCATGTCCAAATCTTTGTGATTCCATGGGGAGGGGCGTTTCTTGGCAAAGATACTTTGCATTTCCTTCTCCAGCTCTTTTTACAGATGAGGAAATTGAGGCATTCAGGGTTAAATGGCTTTCCCAGGGTCACACACCTAGTAAGTGTCTGAGGCCACATTTGAACTCAGGTCCCCCTGACTCCAGGGTGGCCACCTACTTGCCTTCAAAACACAGAGGATTGGACTGTGGGAGTGAGGAGGAGGTTGTCTGGGCATTGTATCAAGAAATTGAATGATATCCAGCCCCAGTTATTCATCTTTTCGTTGGCCTTCACATGTAGCTGAGTTAATTCCACTTGCCTGAGGAGCAGTTGAATTTGTAATATTTGTGGACCTGTGGCTAGGCAGCTAAGCGGGATAGTCCGGAAGATCTGAGTTCAAATCCTACCTCTGACATTTGTTGTATGACCCTGGGCAAGTCATTTCACCTTTTTCAGGCTTAGTTTTCCCATCTGTAAAATGCAGATAGTAGCACCTACCTCGCAGGGCTATTGTGAGGATTGGATGAGATGATCTATGTACAAAGATGCTGCAAACCATGAATAGCTGTTATTATGCTTAGATAGTTATTATCAGTAGGCGTTCAGTCATCTCAATGTTCAGTTTCTCCTTTTTCAGTTTCAGCAGCATAAGCTTCCCTTCCGGTGAGGGAAATCCCTTCCCCAGGGCTGCTCCGTGGGTTCGTGGAGTGCCCCCAGGCTGATCCCTTCCTCTGTTCTGCATTATGGGCAAATTTCCCTTTGACAAGGGAGAAGAGGCCCTGAACCCATCCCTTAGCTGTCCTCACCTTCCTCTGAGCTTTTCCTTCACTTAGAATAATATTCATTCATTCATAGAGCACTTGACAGTTTGTACTTTCTCATCTCGTCCTCTTAGCCCTGGTACTTTGGGGTTGGCTTTCTGCCCCCCCTTTCCTCCATTGGGTCTGATTTCCTCAATGGAGGGGCCTCCCAGGTGAGGATCTCCCTCCACCAAGGTAGGTTGTGACCTCTGCCACTTATAGTCAGGTTACACAGCTGAGATTTGTCAGAGGTGAGACTCGAACTCTTATCTTCTTGGCTCCAAGGCAGGGTTATTGTACCCTGTGCCATGCTGCCTCTGTGGGCATGCTTACCTCATTTTATAGCTAGGGAGCCTGAGTTTCAGCAAGGAAGGGGGAAGGTAGCTAGCGAGTGTCGGGAAGCAGCATTCGAACACAGATCTTGCCCGACTTGAAGCCCTGCATTCTTCCCACGACTTGCTGTGATCTCTTTTCCATTCTTTTTTGTTCCATCTAGAACCTTTCCTTCTTCCAAGCCCTCACTGCTCAGGTGACAGGTCCTCCATGGAAGCTTATCTGTCATCAGTCAGCCAGGCTCCACTTGGGTTTCTGAGCCCCCAGGGAGCTGACAGTTACTTGTTGTTTCTGTCTCCCTAATATTCCTCTCAGGAGTCTCCCTTCCCCCACTCACATGGACACGCCTCAGGTTCAGACTCTCACTACCTTTCACAGGGCTACCATGATGGCCCATAGATCCATCATAACCAACATGTCCAAAACAACTTGTATTTCTTGCTTCAAGCCTCAGGGAAGGCAGTTTGGGAGAGTGGAAAGAACACTGGCTTGGGTTCAAATCCTGTCTCTTCTATTTACAACAGGTATGACTTTGGGCACTTCTCTGGGCCTCAGTTTCCTACCTGTAAAATGGGCTAGCTGATGCGTGGGAAAGAGTGTTGGGTTCGGAGTCAAAACACCTGGGTTTGAATCTCGCTCTTGCCTCTTTACTACCTATGTCACCATCAGCAAGTTACTTGGCCCCTTTGGGCCTCAGTTTCCCCACCTGTAAAAGGAGGGGTTTGGACTTGATGGTTTCTATGGTCCCTTCCAGTTCTAAGTACATGATCTTATGTCCCTTCTTCAATCCATCTTCGCCACAGTTGCCAAAGGTCTGACTGTGCCGCTCACTCTCCCAGTTGGTAAACTCTAGGGGTTTCCTATTGTCATTAGGATCATAGATCAATCTCTCTTTTTGGCTTTTAAAGGCCCCATGACATGGCCCTAACCTCCCTTCTCACACTGTACAGTGAGGCCAAATGGGCCCATCTGCTCTTCCTCCCATATGACACCTCATCTCCCCTCTCCAGGTGTTTGCACTGATGGTACCCCTTGCCTGGAATGCACTCCCTCCTCCTCCTCTCTGCCTCTTCCAACCCCTTATTTCTTTCAAAACTCCACTGAAGCACCACCTTGTACAGGAATCCCTTCCTGATCCCTTCAGTGCCTAGTGGCCCCCCATCCAAATGATCTTGTATTTATTTTGTTTATATTTCTAGGTGTGTTTTATTGTCTCCCAGATAGAATAGAACCTCCTTGAGGCCAAGCATGAATTCATTTTTGTACCTGTATCCCTAGCACCGAGCCAGTGTGAATAATAAATGCTCATTGTCTAACTGATTGATAAACTTCTCCCTGGCACTTGCCACGTTCTCTTCCTTACCGCCTGATAAAGCAGAATTGCGGCTCTGCCACTGTGTATGGTCTTGGGCCATCGGCTTCTACTCCCTGAGCCTCAGTTTCCCCCACTGTAAGTAAAATTAAGGGATTGGACCTGATGTTGGTCTCTGAGGTCCCTTCCAGCTTAGGTCCAGGGTCCTCTGGCCTCTGGTCTTGGGGGCTCCCAGAACCTAGGTCCAGGCTCTGTGCCCTCATTCTTCTCTCTGTAGCCCCTGGGGTGGGAAGGGAACACAGAGACCCAGAGTTACTGTACCCTGGAGCCCAGGACCCAAGTCCTGCCTTGAAGTCCTCCACTCCAGGCTCTGTGGTTCCACCCGAGGGACAGCTCCCCGTGGCACCATCTGGGAGAACTTGAGCCAAAGACTGGGGGAATGAATGTATGATATCACCGGGGAGGGGTGGAATTGATGTGGGGGGCAGCAAGCAGGGACTCGTCTGAAGAGGGCAGGGATTTGTTTTCCAGGTCCGGGCTGGTACTACCCGGGTTGGTCCGGGTAGGCCTGGGAGGAGGGTGGAGGGTGGGGAAAGGGGCTGGTGTGAAGGGAGGAGTCGCGTGATTGAGGGTGAGACAAGTTCTGCCTTTAGGGAGCTCTGAGTTTGAGGGAGGGGTAGACATGACCTCTGCCCCCAGGGAACTCCTAGTTAGAGGTGGGGAGACTTGGCTGTGCCCCCAGGGAACTCCTAATCTGGGCAGGGAAGCTTTTCTTCTGAGGGGGAGATACAGAGGGTAGTGATGGGGAGAGGATAGTGCCAAGGGTGTAGGGAGTTCCCATAATAAGAAAGAATTTCTTTGTGGGGGTGGTGAGGGTCATGGTGATGTGCAGGGAGGTCCCTGGTCTGGGGGACAGGCCCTGTGAGGGGGAGTCTTCCCTGCTGCAGGCCTGGCCTCACTTGAAACACCCTAGCATGGGCAGGACCTTGCCTTGGGTGTGGCCACTGTGGGACTAGCATAGAGATCCACGGTGGTACCTGGGGACTTTTTAAATACCCGTAATGATTTCTCCTAAACCTTACCTTGACATCAGGCTGAGTTTCAAGTCTCCCAGCCTCTAAGATGGGGTGGTGGGAGGGGGGTGGCCACAGGAGGTGAGCGGAAGCTCTTGTGGTTGCTCTCAATGTGCTGACGCCAGGAGTAAGGCCCTGGGGCCCCCCCCTTCCTTCCCCAGACGAGCTGTGGTCAGGGCCGACCTCCTGATGAGACACCTGGGAATTTTGCTGTTAGCTCATGTAGGGTGTGGGTGTGGTGAAGTTTCCAGGAAGTCTGGTGGAACCCAGAAATGGTCATTTGAGGGCAGGAAAGCTGGGGACCCTCATCACCCACTCTTGGAACTCACAGAGAGCCCTTGGCTGGGCAAAGAGACCAGCTCAGGAAACCCCCTCCCCCCACCTTGCCATTGGGATGAAATGGTGAGGTTAGGGAGGCAAAGTGACCAGGTTGGATGGGTGTCTATATTTACCATCACCCAGAGTGTAAAAAATAAATTTTTTTTTTTATAACTTAAATACAGAGAAACTGGCAGGAGACCAAGTCGGTGTAGGTGAGTGGAAGCCCTTTGGGGGACTGCTTTAATGAGGAGCTAAGACTGGTTTGGTGGTATTCATCCATCCATCAATTCATTAACAAGCATTTATTACAGCACCTACTGTGTGGTAGGAGATGGGGATTCAAAACCAAAAATGAAACAGTTCCTGTCCTTAAGTCCTGTCCTTACATTCTCTCAGGGGAGGGGACATGCAGAATATTTACAAATAAATACATAAGGATTGTAAGGGAAAGAGATCAGGAGAGGCATCCTGGAAAAACTGCCTTTGAAATGACCTCTGAAGAGTGATGAGGACGGGAGGAAGCAGAGGCGAGGAGGGGCTGCAGGCTGGGCATGGGCGAGCATGTGCAAAGGCAGGAAAAGGAATGCTGCATGTGAGGAACAGGAGAAAAGGCATTTTGACTGGGCTGCAGAGTTGGCGGAGAGTAACATAGAATAAAGGCATAACAGGTAGGTTGGAAGGACCTTAAACACTAAACTTGGTATTTTGTCCTAAAGGCAATAGGGAGCCATAGGAATTCATTTAGCTGGGGAATGACACGATCTGACTTGCACTTTAGGAAAATTGCTTTGGGAGTTTTGTGGAGGATGCTTTGGAAAGGGGAGAGACATGAGGTAGGGAGACCAATAAGAAAGCTAGTATAATAGTCCAGGTAGGAGGCAAAGAGGTTCTGAACTAGGGTGGGTGGCTGTGGAAAATGGAGGGGAGGGAATCATAAGAGAGATGTAGAGGAGAAACAGTTTTGGCAGCTGGTTAGAAATGGGAAGTGAGTAAGGATGATTCTGAGGTTGTGGATGAGTGGGAGGATGGTGGTGCCTTTGACAGAAACAGGGACTGTTGGAAGGTGGGGGTCTGAGAGAAAGAAAATGAGTTCCTTTTTTTGTTTTGTTTTGTTTTTTGGAGACAATCCAGGTTAAGTGACTTATCCAGG